AGTCTGGATTTAGCTGGATTTCGGTCATTTTGGGATGGGCGTGGCCCCTGGGAGTGGCCCGAGTGGGTTGAGAGGTCGAAACTTGATTTTTATGATGGTTTGGGACAGGCAGAACCCATTTTTAAACTAAAACATGTCCCACCTACCCCGGAACATAAAAGCACTACAGGGGTAAAGATTTTAAAGTCTGGATTTAGCTGGATTTCGGTCATTTTGGGATGGGCGTGGCCCCTGGGAGTGGCCCGAGTGGGTTGAGAGGTCGAAACTTGATTTTTATGATGGTTTGGGACAGGCAGAACCCATTTTTAAACTAAAACATGTCCCACCTACCCCGGAACATAAAAGCACTACAGGGGTAAAGATTTTAAAGTCTGGATTTAGCTGGATTTCGGTCATTTTGGGATGGGCGTGGCCCCTGGGAGTGGCCCGAGTGGGTTGAGAGGTCGAAACTTGATTTTTATGATGGTTTGGGACAGGCAGAACCCATTTTTAAACTAAAACATGTCCCACCTACCCCGGAACATAAAAGCACTACAGGGGTAAAGATTTTAAAGTCTGGATTTAGCTGGATTTCGGTCATTTTGGGATGGGCGTGGCCCCTGGGAGTGGCCCGAGTGGGTTGAGAGGTCGAAACTTGATTTTTATGATGGTTTGGGACAGGCAGAACCCATTTTTAAACTAAAACATGTCCCACCTACCCCGGAACATAAAAGCACTACAGGGGTAAAGATTTTAAAGTCTGGATTTAGCTGGATTTCGGTCATTTTGGGATGGGCGTGGCCCCTGGGAGTGGCCCGAGTGGGTTGAGAGGTCGAAACTTGATTTTTATGATGGTTTGGGACAGGCAGAACCCATTTTTAAACTAAAACATGTCCCACCTACCCCGGAACATAAAAGCACTACAGGGGTAAAGATTTTAAAGTCTGGATTTAGCTGGATTTCGGTCATTTTGGGATGGGCGTGGCCCCTGGGAGTGGCCCGAGTGGGTTGAGAGGTCGAAACTTGATTTTTATGATGGTTTGGGACAGGCAGAACCCATTTTTAAACTAAAACATGTCCCACCTACCCCGGAACATAAAAGCACTACAGGGGTAAAGATTTTAAAGTCTGGATTTAGCTGGATTTCGGTCATTTTGGGATGGGCGTGGCCCCTGGGAGTGGCCCGAGTGGGTTGAGAGGTCGAAACTTGATTTTTATGATGGTTTGGGACAGGCAGAACCCATTTTTAAACTAAAACATGTCCCACCTACCCCGGAACATAAAAGCACTACAGGGGTAAAGATTTTAAAGTCTGGATTTAGCTGGATTTCGGTCATTTTGGGATGGGCGTGGCCCCTGGGAGTGGCCCGAGTGGGTTGAGAGGTCGAAACTTGATTTTTATGATGGTTTGGGACAGGCAGAACCCATTTTTAAACTAAAACATGTCCCACCTACCCCGGAACATAAAAGCACTACAGGGGTAAAGATTTTAAAGTCTGGATTTAGCTGGATTTCGGTCATTTTGGGATGGGCGTGGCCCCTGGGAGTGGCCCGAGTGGGTTGAGAGGTCGAAACTTGATTTTTATGATGGTTTGGGACAGGCAGAACCCATTTTTAAACTAAAACATGTCCCACCTACCCCGGAACATAAAAGCACTACAGGGGTAAAGATTTTAAAGTCTGGATTTAGCTGGATTTCGGTCATTTTGGGATGGGCGTGGCCCCTGGGAGTGGCCCGAGTGGGTTGAGAGGTCGAAACTTGATTTTTATGATGGTTTGGGACAGGCAGAACCCATTTTTAAACTAAAACATGTCCCACCTACCCCGGAACATAAAAGCACTACAGGGGTAAAGATTTTAAAGTCTGGATTTAGCTGGATTTCGGTCATTTTGGGATGGGCGTGGCCCCTGGGAGTGGCCCGAGTGGGTTGAGAGGTCGAAACTTGATTTTTATGATGGTTTGGGACAGGCAGAACCCATTTTTAAACTAAAACATGTCCCACCTACCCCGGAACATAAAAGCACTACAGGGGTAAAGATTTTAAAGTCTGGATTTAGCTGGATTTCGGTCATTTTGGGATGGGCGTGGCCCCTGGGAGTGGCCCGAGTGGGTTGAGAGGTCGAAACTTGATTTTTATGATGGTTTGGGACAGGCAGAACCCATTTTTAAACTAAAACATGTCCCACCTACCCCGGAACATAAAAGCACTACAGGGGTAAAGATTTTAAAGTCTGGATTTAGCTGGATTTCGGTCATTTTGGGATGGGCGTGGCCCCTGGGAGTGGCCCGAGTGGGTTGAGAGGTCGAAACTTGATTTTTATGATGGTTTGGGACAGGCAGAACCCATTTTTAAACTAAAACATGTCCCACCTACCCCGGAACATAAAAGCACTACAGGGGTAAAGATTTTAAAGTCTGGATTTAGCTGGATTTCGGTCATTTTGGGATGGGCGTGGCCCCTGGGAGTGGCCCGAGTGGGTTGAGAGGTCGAAACTTGATTTTTATGATGGTTTGGGACAGGCAGAACCCATTTTTAAACTAAAACATGTCCCACCTACCCCGGAACATAAAAGCACTACAGGGGTAAAGATTTTAAAGTCTGGATTTAGCTGGATTTCGGTCATTTTGGGATGGGCGTGGCCCCTGGGAGTGGCCCGAGTGGGTTGAGAGGTCGAAACTTGATTTTTATGATGGTTTGGGACAGGCAGAACCCATTTTTAAACTAAAACATGTCCCACCTACCCCGGAACATAAAAGCACTACAGGGGTAAAGATTTTAAAGTCTGGATTTAGCTGGATTTCGGTCATTTTGGGATGGGCGTGGCCCCTGGGAGTGGCCCGAGTGGGTTGAGAGGTCGAAACTTGATTTTTATGATGGTTTGGGACAGGCAGAACCCATTTTTAAACTAAAACATGTCCCACCTACCCCGGAACATAAAAGCACTACAGGGGTAAAGATTTTAAAGTCTGGATTTAGCTGGATTTCGGTCATTTTGGGATGGGCGTGGCCCCTGGGAGTGGCCCGAGTGGGTTGAGAGGTCGAAACTTGATTTTTATGATGGTTTGGGACAGGCAGAACCCATTTTTAAACTAAAACATGTCCCACCTACCCCGGAACATAAAAGCACTACAGGGGTAAAGATTTTAAAGTCTGGATTTAGCTGGATTTCGGTCATTTTGGGATGGGCGTGGCCCCTGGGAGTGGGTTGAGAGGTCGAAACTTGATTTTTATGATGGTTTGGGACAGGCAGAACCCATTTTTAAACTAAAACATGTCCCACCTACCCCGGAACATAAAAGCACTACAGGGGTGAAAAGCACTACAAATCCACTACAAAATTCAAGGAAACGTGCTCTCGCAAAGATTAGAACTAGCAGGAGTACTACCCTCAGGCTTACATCGACAGAAACTAGACTCAGATGCGACCGATCGAAGATACTCCGCAGAAAAAGCAGAAGGATACCTAGTGGATTATTCACGGGGTTCCTACAATAACACTTACATGACAATCGTCAGTTACCAGTATCCAAGAAGCTGGCCCAGTCCGTGCACCAGTCCACGGACTACTTATGACATGAAGGTTAGAAGATCATATGAATGATATCTTGGATGCAATTGGTAACGTTGTAAATTACTGAATGAAGACAAAGATTACGATTGATTAAATGAGGTATACAATATACATAAGTCATTCGATTTCTATGGAGTATTATCAATTACCACTATCAGCAACGACAACAACTATTCCAATTCCTGAAACGGTTACGGTCTAGTAATAAACGAAAGAAGGACCCACGGCCTCCATATTAGAGAACGCTCGAGACTTCCTATTCCAGAAAAGAAAAAAAAACCTTTTAAAGAACTCCATGTCCTGTCCCTTTCCATTCGGAGCTGAGGGGACTGATTGAGGAGAAGCAAAGTTAGAATGGTCTCTGGCGTCAAAAGCGGTCACAGGGTGGTATGTGGAGCAGGATATAACATCATGTCCTATAATGCTAGCCGTAAGTAATTGCATCCAAGATACCATTCATATGATCTGTTTACCATCATGTCATAATTAGTTCGTGGACTGGATCGGGCTTCTTTGATACTGTCCCCAATTGTTCACGGAAACCTATATTCCCTAGTTTTAATGTAAGTTGAACCAATAAAAATGTTCGCTACCATTTTGCATTAACCTGGTTTCCAGTTGCGGACATAAGACAAATTTTAGAGGGCAGCAAAATAATCGAGAGTGGGGGTGACAAATGGGAACCGTTGCAATATCAAGTAATGCACACATAAAGACATAAGATGTCTATCATGATCATGAAGGTACATTTATAATACCCCGCTTTACTGCGCCCCGATTTAACACAAACCGGGGTTTTACTGTACTTAACTTGATAGTTCTCTTGGTGGACAAGCATGTTGCGCTGTACTCAGTACTGGTTCTAATAAGTTTATTATCGGATGTTTACCTATAATTATTATGATATGAATATTTAGTGTAATGGCAATCAATCTCCTTAAAATTTACCTTATTTCACAAGCCACGGACAGTAAAAAAGACTTAAAAGTAAATAAGTGAACATAGACAATGAGAGAGATAACAGAAAGATAACACGGACAATGAGAGAGATAACAGAGGGATAAGAATGAGAGAGATAACAGAGAGATAAGAATGAGAGAGATAACAGAGAGATAAGAATGAGAGAGATAACAGAGAGATAAGAATGAGAGAGATAACAGAGAGATAAGAATGAGAAAGATAACAGAGGGATAAGAATGAGAGAGATAACAGAGAGATAAGAATGAGAGAGATAACAGAGAGATAAGAATGAGAAAGATAACAGAGGGATAAGAATGAGAGAGATAACAGAGAGATAAGAATGCGAGAGATAACAGAGAGATAAGAATGAGAGAGATAACAGAGAGATAAGAATGAGAGAGATAACAGAGGGATAAGAATGAGAGAGATAACAGAGAGATAAGAATGAGAGAGATAACAGAGAGATAAGAATGAGAGAGATAACAGACCTCGTTAGCAACCCTCCATCCCTGCATACTGCTAGCACCGTATTTCAGTCCCAACTTTGATATTCCGTCGATTACCTCCTTCTCCGTAACTGGGGACTCCAGATATCCGCTCATTACAGCTCCCATCTCGACAACTTGCTAGTGTTAATAAGATTTTAAATACTATGTTATATTGTAAGTCGCCGTATTAATTTGTACAGTGAAGCTGCTAAAACAAATTATTTACAAATACCAAACATATTCTAAACAACTTATTAACAATCCCTTATAGCTCAACTCGGTGATTCGATTTTAATAAGACAACATTATAGCAAATAAAATTTAGTGATTAAAGACAACAAAATTATGTTAAAAGCCCATTAGTGGGATTAGTACAATAGTAAAAGATTAAAATGCTACTTCAAACAATTTATTATATTAAACCTTTCTCTGACAAAAATTTGTCGAATGTTTCCTTATCTTTATCCTTAAGAAATATTCTAAAACCTTTCAATAAGTCCTTGTGATTTGCCATAAACAAATCTGTAACATTGTCGATAAGTTTCACGATATTCTTTTCTGTCTTATACTCCTTCACGACCCCTCTGAATACTTCATACTCAGCGTCAGATAACGAAATTTTTAATGTTGCAGAGAAATTTTGGGATTTTGTCACTTTAGGTTGTTCTCTCTGGGTAGAAGCCAGAGGGCTACTCATAACGGATGTTATTTGCGACAAAGAGTTGAGGTTATTTTCTTTATCTTGTTTGGTAACAAGTCTGAATTTCTTTCTGGGATTTCTGATAGCCTCAGGTGTCTTGTAGTCCGTGGTAGATCGACTGCTTACCGGAGACATAGAAGGAGCAAAGGAGTAATCAGCCGAACCGGTACCGTTCAATGAGCTTATCAAGCTTACTCTCTTATCAGTTCGAGCCATTTTCCTGGGAGGCGGCGTAACTTCATGTGTAGAATCATCCAAGTTTGGTGCTGCAAATCTTTCTTTGGGTAAGTCCTTCTCGGTGGATCTAAAGGCATCATACATGTTACTCAGTCGGTTGGTATTTGATGATTTAACAGGTTCTTCATTTTCTTCTTTCTCACATACCCTATTAACATGAAGTTTAAAGAATTGGGATAGTTCACGTAAACCGGAACCAAACTGCTCGTTTACCTTTGCAAATCCTCGTGCCCACTTAGGTAGCTCATCAACATTTGATCTGAATGAAAATCTTTTGTCCATAAAAATAACTGCCCCAAAGTCATCTTTGTGTCGAATAACTCGGCCGACAGCCTGGTTCACAGCTCGGGAGCTCTGTTGAATGTACCACTCTTGACCGTTCAACGAATTTGGTCTGTTTCTCTTCTGTTGATCCAGATAGTTGATTTTAGCACTCACTTTAGGGTCGTTTTTCGGTGGAAAAGGCAGGCCTGTTATGATTACAGCCCGTCCATGCATGTCCGCAAAATCAATACCTTCACTGGCTTTACCTCTGCAAACTGCAAACAGCATTGCTCCCGTAGCTCCATCTGTAGGGTTTCTGACTTTGTCATCAAATTCACTCATCAATTTTGCCATTTCGTTCTTAGATCGTGGCTCTGTGAAGCAGTGTTTAGTTTTCAGCATACGAGAGTAAATATTGGTGGTTTGCCAAGATTGGATGGTGTTGTTCATTACTCCGTAGCTGGGAAAGAAAACCAAAACTCCGTTGGGAATTACTCTGAGTAGATTAACAATGGAAGTGCCCAAAGAGGAGAGGTATTTTGGGTTGCTTCTATTTGCGTATGTTGAAAGAAAATCAGTTCCATCACAGCCTTTACAGATTATCTGAAATGGAAACGATTATACCATAAATAAGATGCATTATAGATATTACAACTTTGATTTTATATCCACAAAATTGATTGTATCGTATTTGACGAAATACAAACACATCACAAAATACTGGCAAATAATGAGAAATAATGAGCTTCCAATTAAATGTTATATCCAATGATAGATATTGCAGGATTAGTACAGATCCAAATTGTAAAAATGTGTGAAACGTACCTGCACAGATATTTGACTTGGCTGAATGACATGAGGATTCTGTAAAGTGATAGGAAAAGGTATCCTCAATTCACAAGAAAAGGAATTTATTGGAGAAAGAGTACCACTGGTTAGTATAATGGAGTAAACACCACTCTTCACAAACTCCTCCATGGCTAGCCCAGGACTAAAACACCAGTAAGAAAGCTTGGTAATGAACTGTGGGGCAACTGATTCTATATTTTTATCAACCCAAGTCGAGGCTTTCCCTGACTTACCATATTTTGAATCCTTTTTCTCCTTCGACACATAACAAACATACTGGTGTTTGGAGGCCTCGCTCTGGTCGAGAGTCAAATCAAGTATCTGCATAAAGTTGTTGAGGACAACAAACGTGTTACCCACTAGTTTATTAGAACTGCTTAGAGATAACACTGATTCCATCTTTTGAAGAACCTCCGTAATCAACCCTTTTGTCTCTTGATTCACATTTATGGACACAAGCAGGTTTTTAAAAGTAGACTTGTCTATGATGTTACCTGATCCTTTTACTTCTAACTTATTGAATTCTCTTTCAAGAGACAGGAAAATAGCTTTCATAGTCAAAACATCCTCTTTTGTCAATTCACCACTGTCATAACTTGGCCCCGAACTTGTGCTAGCAGACCCATCGTCATCCAATATCCTTTGTAATGTCAACTGACAGTTTTCTATACAGTTAGCTATGTCTAAAGAAGTTATTTCAAATGAATACGATTCCTCACAAACCTTTTCTATGTTGTGAGCTTCATCGAAGATAACAATGGAATTTTCAAGTGTTATGTTTTGATTTTTCCTAGTTTTGCTATCAATAAGATAGTTATATGGCATGAAGATTATATCAGCACGTCTCAAGAGTTCTCTTGATGAATAATATGGACACATGGTCTTCTCCTTTGAAACTGAAACAAGTTCCTCAATATCCAGTATCTCCCCAAATATTGCGTCATTTATTTTCTTATCTACGTTAGTGTAGTGCACACAAGATCTTTCCTTCACTTTCGCACGGCAGGTGTGGATTTTTGCCATGTTGTTCTCGATGTTCATCACTTTGGGATGTAAACAGAGCTGATCTCTGGAGCCGAGCACACTCACTTTTGGTTTATATATCGTATTCTTGAGCTCGTTGACAACTTGTGAAATCTGAGAGTGAGTCCTTGATGCATATATAATTTTAGGAATAGCATTAAATCCCTCTAATGCTTGATTGTTCCCAGCAGCTTCATCCAATCCGGCAATATTAGCATTAGCTGCTATTCCACTGAGCTGAAGTTTGGCAATGTAAGTAAGTCGCCATGCAAGAACTGAGCACAGAAGGCACAATGTTTTACCAGTTCCAGTTGGAGATTCCAGAATTGCATTTTGTTTTGACTGAAGAGCTCTGATTACATGTCCCATGTAATCTTCCTGACATTTATAAGGAGAAAATGGAAAGTCAACATCTACATTGTTTACTGTCACTTGGGGCATTGCCTGCAACGAGATTTAAAATTACTTATTGTTAAATAAAATTACATTTTTTACAAATCTATTACATTTAATTGTCAAATGACGTAGTAAACTATATCACAGTTAATATTATATGGATATAAATGTTCAATGATATAGAGCGATTTCAAGAGTAGTGGTCCACATGGGTCCGAAAAAGCCGTACAGGCACTTGGGTCCTTATCCTTGTCACTAGTCTCAATTGGATTCAGTTTACACAAAACATGAACATTTACAATTTAAACGTACACATTGACACTATATTTATTAGAAAGCTAAAATTATAAAATAATACGTGTGTGCGCAGCTTGGGCCGCGCTGCATAAGAATTGATGCGTGTAGGGGCTAGGCTGGAGTACACTTGTTTATAGATTAATGAATTGCATTGTAAATATTTAGAATTGACGATATATTAGAATTAGAATTAGAATCAAATTTACACAGCAATACAATAACAATAAAAAATAATTTAAGAAGCTTCAATCTGCTGTGCAGGACATTCAAGTCAGTCGAAAACTGTTAGCAGAACACCCTTCTAGGGACATAAGGATATAGTATGTAAAACATAATAAGTAGTAAATTAATGAGTGATAAAATAAGATATGATTTAACAGTGAACTGTGGGCAGTTCATATATTATGATCTAATAGTATATATGGGCAATTCCACGTAGTGTAATTCACACTTTGCACAAAATTTAGCTTTTAATTGCATGCTAATTGTAGGCTAACATTAGCAGCATGATAATATAAAGCTAAAGTCAGAATGAAGTTTAAACGTTTGTGATGATGTGGCAACAAAAGTTTAATGTCTATCTCTTATACTTTTTATGAGAGCAGCATTTTAAAAAGTAGACGTTATTCACAGGCATAATTTGGTGTTTTAGAAATCTTGCCTTAAAATTGCAATTCGTGCCCCAGTGTAATAGCAGAAGTTACAATAAGGCTTGATCACAATAAAGTACACATTTTTTCAACTTCCTATGTCCTTCCTAACATAAATTTGTGGAATGTGTGTAGTACAGGGACAATATAGGAAGTAAACTTTATTCACATTTGGACGTAGTGTAACTCACACTCTGCCCAGTTGCTCTGTTTGTGCGTTGTATTGATGTTTGCTTGTTCTTAATTTGGTTGCTGCTATTGTAAAATGGTGAAGTAGACTGACTATTACTGATTTTAAATTAAATCAAGACTACTAATTGGTCCAATTAGATACTGGTAATGGTGTAGATTACACCCTACTGCCATACCACAGTGGTCCGGGCGCCCATGCGAGGTAGACATAAGACATAGGCATGACTGAGGGGTATGATATACCACAAAACATGTATTCTAAGGGTATCTTGCCCCAAAATAACGTTTAAAAAGGTTTTTAGAGTGATTAAATGGACATTTGACCTCAAATATTAATTTTACCTCATTTTTTGTCAAAAATTGCATTTTTTGGCAATTTTTTTGCCATTTTTTAGGACAAACTACAAAAATAAGTTGCAAATTAACTTTGGTAAGGATCTATAAGTTGATCTATCTGTAAGTATAGGACAACTTAGAGTAATCCTAGAAAAATGTACAGTGTAATATTGTGGCATGATTTTTTATGAGCTTTATTGATTCTATTGATGATGCCTTATTGATTCTATTGATGATATTGGAACACTTCCTTACAGTGAAAGGTTGGATGCCT